CCCCGCAGCAGCCACGTGACCCGGTGACGGGCCGTTACAGGCGGGGCTTGTTCTGCCCAGGGGACGTGGTGACGAGCGCCGCTCGGTCCTGGGGGGAGGGGCTGGAGTAACTGGCGCTGAGGAAAAGGGGGCGGGTCAATCGTTATTACAAAGGGCGCTGGGTGGCAGGTGGAATTCTGCACTGACAGTCACAGGGGTGCACGTGGGGAACTATAATCCCAGCCAGAATGAAACAACATGGTCTCAATTAGCTGTTGCATCAAGAACAGAGCTTGGAGTCACTGGGAATAGTTCATTGAAAACATGCTCAATGTTCAGTGGCAAGCTAATAGACTATTGGAAAGCGTTAGGAAAGGAAGGGATAAGAAAATATCCTATTGCCTCTACTATAAAGTCATGGCATACCCACATCTTGACTACCACATGCAGCTCTGGTCAGCCCATTTAAAAAGATGTATTGGATTTGGAAAAGGTACACAAAGGGTAACAAATGTTTAGGCATTAAAGAAAAGCTTCCCTATGAGGAGTGATTAACAAGACTAGGACTTGGAAAAGAAATGACTAAAGAGTGGAGGGATATTTTGGCAATATAGAAAGTCAGGAATGGTGTGGAAAAATAGAATAAGGAAAGGTTATTTATTCCTTCACTAATCTAAGGTCACCCAATGAAATTTACAAGCAGCAGATTTAAAACAAACAAAAGACATTATTTCTTCTTAGTCAACCTGTGGGATTCTGCCAGGGAATGTTGAAAAGGCCCAAACTATAACAGGATTCCAATAAAAACAAAGTAAGTTAAAAAAGGATAGGGCAATGAATGGCTGTTAGCCAGGATGGGCAGGGATGGTGTCCCTAGCCTCTGTTTGCCAGAAGCTGGGAATGGCCAACAAGGGCTGGATCACTTGATTACATTTTCTGTTCATTTCTGACATTGGCCACTATTGGAAGACAGGACACAAGGCTACATAGACTATTTGTTTGATCTAGTATGGCCATTATGATATTCTTATATAGAACCCTGATGTAGCAACTCCCTGCTGTAACCCACTAGACCCCACTCCTCTCCCAGAGTTGAGATGGAACCCAGGAGTCCTGACTGTGTGCCTCTTTCTCCCTGCAGAGTCAGTAATAAAGAATATACATTAAATTTTAAGCCTAGCTAGTGACCTTTAAGAGACCTGCCTCACAAGTTCATATAGGAGCTGAATGGTTTTAATATATTTTTCTTTATATAGGAATTAAAAACAATGCTCTTGTCAGCTCATTAGTAAGTTATCTGCCAAAAAAAAACACAGAGTTTTCAAATGCCTTAATAGCTCCTGGAAAGAAGTGATTGATATGTGTGTGGGGGGGGAGGGACGAATAGGGTTGTTCTGCCCCACCCCCCAATTTACTGCTTAGCTTGTACATAAGAATGGCCGTACTGGGTCAGACTAACAGTCCATCCAGCCTATTATCCTGTCTGTTGTCAGTGGCCAGTACCAAATGCCCCAGAGGGAGGAAACTGAGAATGATGAATAACACTACTGAACCTGCTGTCCTCACTCTGATCCCCCCACTATCACTACATGCACAGGTTCCCCCCCCCCCCACTAAAATCTGAAATTGCATCCCTAGGTAGGAGCCCTGTGCTGGAAGGAGTAGGGGAAAAGGGATCCTGGGTAACAAGAAGCTGGAAGGAGGTCCTGAGCTAATAACTGCACTGGAGGGCAGATACTGCTGTAATGAGCTGGGAGTATTGGGGTAACTGCACCTGCCCTCTGGGTGATATGGGAGAAACAGCAGCAGCACTGAGAAGGGGGAGATACTGAGGTAATAGCACCCATGGGGCAGGGTTTTTACTGGAGTCTTGGTCTTGGGGCTGATTTGTGCTTAAAACATTGTCACAATGGCTATGTCATCTTGGAATGAAACAAAGTGCATCCCTCTACTATATAGTTATGTCTGGCAAAGAGTTGTACACTCAAGGGGCTAGTTCCTGATAAAAAGGTAGGTCAGGGCTGTTAAAAGCATCTCTGCTTGTGTGATAAGGTGACCTAAGTTTTATTGTCACCGTTGCTAGGTTAACTGAAGAATTTCTGTGGCAAAAATGCCTACTTACACTGGGGTAATATGCTTTTGGTAGAATAGCTTATACCATTTCTCCAAACCAAATAAGCTATAGCCCAAAATTAACTACTGATAAACTAATAGTAATAAATCACATCCAAAGTGACAGTTGTACTGCTAAATCTTATTTCATTACCAGTATAAGTCTCTTTATTTGTTGATAAGATGGACATGTGATTTTTTCAGTATCTCTTGGAGATAAACTAAAAGCCTCATAGTGTACCACCACCAATACTGGAGGTAACATGGAAAAAACTATGCTAGTAGTCTCCTTAAGCTCTGTAAATAATAAATCTGTCTGATTGGTAAGTTCCAGCCATAGAATCATAGAAATATAGTACTGGAAGGAACGTCAGAAGAGCTTATTAGGCATTGCCCCTGCACTCAGGTAGAACCAAGAAAATCTGGCCAGACCATCTCATGGCTGATCTAATTTTTTTTTAGCTTTCCCTCATAAGGCAAATTTCTGAAAGAGGTGAGTGGTTCCAGCTAAGACCATTGCTTCTGATCATCTCTGATGTCCCATTTTAACTTGATTAGAGGAGGGGCCCCCTTTGTGTCATAACTTATATGTTATCATAAGCCTCAGTTGCATATAACTCCTCATTTTCTGTCTCCCTCTGCTAGCATCTGCTTCATGCATGGGAGCCTAAAGTTAGGTACCTAAACAGAGGTGGCCAATGTAGCAAGCAGCATAATAACTGTGGGTATGTCTACACTACCACCCTACTTCGAAGTAGGGTGGTTAATGTAGTCATTTGACGTTGCAAATGAAGCCTGAGATTTAAATATCCCGGGCTTCATTTGCATCTTGCCGGGCGCCACCATTTTTAAATCCCCATTAGCCTAATTCGAACTACCTACTCCATGCCGTGTGTAGCCGCGGGCACGGAGTCCGCACTAACGGGGATTTAAAAATGGCGGCGCCCGG